AGGGGGCAAAGGTCCGTCTCTCAGTTACCAACTTCTCAGGGAGCTGAAAGGCGAGAAAACAAAGCGGCGCAGTAACTACATCTACTTAGGACACGCAGAGCACATTTCAGCGGAGCTTTAACAAGGCTGCTTCCCCTTCTGCTGCTTGTACCGCAGCCACAAAGGGAACATTTGTCCTCGCAGTAGGGGACTGCCTGGCCCTAAGCAGGGATCTTGGGGCGTTCTCAGCGGGGCCTGGAGCTGCGTCTCAGGGGTACACTAATGGGGAACGAAAGGCTATCAAAGGGGGGTATCATGATGGCATGAAGGGGGGGCGGTGATGAGAAAACAAAGCTGCCTTTCCACAGCCTCTACTTCCATCATTTACATGCTAATCAGCTCCAGCTTTTATGGACTCCTCTGTTCGGGTTGCTCTGCCTAGTAGAGTAACTTTCTCTTTTTATAGGAGCTATTCTTCCATTTTCAGTTAAATCTTAATTATTAGACTATTTAGTTTAATTCTTTATTTAGAATTGGTTTTAGGTTAGTGATTCACTTAATTGGTTGATTCATTTTAGCTTGGGATGTGAGTGTTTCACAGTATAAATAGGTAGCTTTAAGTAGCTCATTATGGACATGATGGATGTCATATAGTTTTTTTACCGGTCCCAGTCCCAGTCTCAGCCCCAATTTCAGTCTCAGCCCAAGTCTCAGCCCCAATCTCAGCCCCAGTCTCAGTCCCAGTCTCAGCCCCATTCCCAGTCCCAGTCTCAGTCCCAGTCTCAGCCCCATTCCCAGTCCCAATCCCAATCCCAGTCTCAGTACCAGTCTCAGTCCCAGTCTCAGCCCCAGTCCCAGCCCCAGCCCCAGTCTCAGCCCCAGTCCCAGTCTCAGTCCCAGTCTCAGCCCCAGTCTCAGTCCCAGTCTCAGCCCCATTCCCAGTCCCAGTCTCAGTCCCAGTCTCAGCCCCATTCCCAGTCCCAATCCCAGTCTCAGTACCAGTCTCAGTCCCAGTCTCAGTCCCAGTCTCAGCCCCAGTCCCAGCCCCAGCCCCAGTCTCAGCCCCA